GAGAATGTTCTGAACAAAGAACTAAAAGTGAACTGTCACCTATAAATTATTTGCCATCCTTCTTAGTCAGCTAGGATAGCATAATTAATAATAGTACAAGAGAAATTTGAGTTTTTCAATCTGAAGTCACAATCTCATCAAGGATAACAATGAGTGAAACAATGAAGGCATAGTCCACATTTGGATTCACAGACACCATGAAATGGTTCCTTCCAAAGAATGTGCCCTTCCTCTTCATCTGCAACCCCAGAATCAATCATTATATTGTAAAAACAAATAATATTACTACATCAATCTCATTTTATCTGTCATACTTACTATTTATTAATCAAATCAATTGTCTCTTCTTTGTTTATTTTCTTCATTATTTTTTATTTATTTTTAAATTTGATTTTTTGTGTTTAATAATACTGGAGTTTCTAAATATATAAATTTTGTATACTAATATCAAACTTAATATTATGAAAAATTGGATTAAGGAAAAAGGGTCAAATAGACCCCTAAACTTTACACAAAAAGTCAATTAGGCACCTAAATTTTTAAAAACTGCAATTAAACCTTCAAACATGTCAAATTGAGGCAATAAAGCCCAAAAATCGGTAAATCAGCAATTATATCATGGACCATGGTCCACAAAGCTTTGTGGATCATGGTCCAAAAACGGCGCCGTTTCTTTAAGTAAAGAAACGAGTGGACCATGGTCCAAAACGACGTCGTTTCTTTAATGAAAGAAACGACTGCCCTTACAGCTTAACGGAGCCCATATTTTTTGTGTGCTAATTACAAAATGAAACTACAGTGTATCTAAACTTAAACTGCCTCAAATATTGTTTTTATATTATCAAATGAAACTGTAATTGAATTGAAATTAAACTGTAGTTGTGTTGAAATGAAACTGCAGTGTATATAAAATGAAACTGCATAACAGTTTCACATTTGAGTGTATATTGTCCATTGAAACTGTAGTTATATCGAAATGATACTGCAGTTGTGTTGTAATGAAACTATAGTGTATATAAAATGAAAATGAATAACAGTTTCACATATTTGAGTGTATAATGTCGAATGAAACTGTAGTTATATCGAAATGAAACTGTAGTTATGTTAAAATGAAACTGCAGTGTATATAAAATGAAACTGAATAACAGTTTCACATATTTGAGTGTATATTGTCCAATGAAACTGAAGTTATAACGAAATGATAATGTAGTTGTGTTGTAATGAAACTATAGTGTATATACAATGAAATTAAACTAAATAACAATGTCACATATTTGAGTGTATAATATCGAATGAAACTATAGTTATATCAAATGAAACTGTAGTTGTGTTGAAATGAAACTGCATTGTATATAAAATGAAACTCAATATGTTATACAAACAGAGTTACTTTTTGCGGTGCGGAACGGGTGCCGTTTCATTTCAATAAAAGAAACGGCACCGTATTGATGCCTGGACCACAATGCGTAAAATTTACCCCGGTAAATAACCTGTTATTACAAGTCATTTCAGTTCAGGCATCACTCCTGCGACCTAATTTCAGTTCAGGCTAAAATCCAGCAACCAGATGCTGGTTGCCTTCTCTAGTAGATGGCGACCGTGCCGGATTTTAGCTTGAACTGAAATTAGGTCGCCGTATTTTCGCCAGAGTGATGCCAGAACTGAAATGATTTGTAATAACAGGTCATTTACCGGTTTTTGGGCTTCATTGCCTCAATTTGACATGTTTGAAGGTTTAATTGCACTTTTTAAAAGTTTAAGTGACTAATTGACTTTGGTGTAAAGTTTAGGGGCCTATTTGACCCTTTTTCTTTAGATTATTAAAAATAACTTCAATCAAGCCTCGTTAACCGAGCTAAACACATAAAATGGGACGGAGGGAGTATTATATTGTACAAAAATAAACTTAATATTATAAAATTGGATTAAAAATAACATTATTAAAACCCCGTTAATCGAACTAGACACATAAAATGGGACATAGGGAGTATTTTATTTTCAACAAAAACCAAAAAGTACGTTGAAGTAAAAAGCTGACCTGAGCAATCAACAAAGAAGATGGTCCATAAATATCACACGTGTTGGCAGAGTTGGATGCCTCCATCTTGAAGTCACAAATCTTTTCCCCTATGTTATTCTGTAAGAACACATCTAAGTTTCTTCTGTTAAATTGGAATGATGAAGAAATTCTAGCACTGAATATAATGTCTGTGTTTGCTTTGCTTTCTCCCCTAAACACTTGCCATCTGCTACGTCTTGAATATGCCTGCAAAAATTCAATTTTTCTGATATTTTTATTTACTAATAAAAATGGCATTCAGTTGCAAGACGACCACAAACGTACTTGGAATCAAGTTCTTACCAATAACGCTAAAAGCTATAACTAGTAGCGAACACCTAACTTTATTTTCTTATAGATCGCCATTGTTCGAGACGCTGAGTGTTGGACTTGGCCCTAAACCCTTTATCGGCCTTCGCCCAACAATCCTCTGTCATGGGTGCTGGCTCTGATACTACTTGTTAGGATCAATCAGCAAGTAGCGAATGCGTAACTTTATTTTCCTTAATTATAGACCATCATCTCATTTTTCGAGATGCTGGGTGCTGGACTTGACCTTAAACCCTTTACCAACCTTCGCCCAACAATCCCTAACCACCGGGTACCATATAGACTTGACTTTTACTGACCTCCGCCCAACACTACTATCCTAAGGCTATGAGAAATTAAAATGGTACCTTTGGACGTAGAGTAACGATTGGGCTTTCGACAGTATCATAGATGACCACCTTGCTACTGAAGAAGGAATTGATCCTTTTGACCTTGAAGAGGAATCTGCCATATTTATCATCTTTGACTTCATATTCATGGCTGCGAAAGAAAAAGTGTTTCTTCTTGATGGAAAGTTGAAAGGGATGAGGGGCACAGAAATCTGAGCTGATCACTGCATTTGGATTGGCAAAGGGCAAGGGCCCTTGAAGCCACGACATGGATGGTTTTATTTTTCTTTTAATTTGTAAAATGGATCTCTGCAAAATCTACTTATATATGATTGATTAAAACAAATTATTGTAAGAATAGGTATGATGTTATGTATATATGTTTTGTGGTTAGTATGGTATTATATTGTTATTAGTCAACGCCTTCCTCGCATATCCAATGGGGATCTTACCGTGCTGATCAAGAATATAATTTTAATTGCTATAAACATATCTTATAATAAGCTGGACTGGCAACGAGGCGTGTGAGGAGAAGAGTTATTGAATAGTACATTCCAATTCCCAGTGTAAAACAAGAGAATTGAAGGTTCAACGTCCTCCTGGCATATCCAATGGGAGAGACGGTCGTGCCTTGTCAACAACAATTTTAACTAAGGGTGTGTTTGGTTCATGAGTTTAACTATTAAGAATGAGAATTAAAGTCATTATTTTTAATTTTTTGAAAGCAAACGAGAACGATATATAGAATCAAAGTCATTATTATTATTATTATTGTTTGTCGATAGGTTTCTAGAGCATATTATGAGATTAGATTACCCCCTTAATTAGAAAACTTACTCTCTAATAAAATAAGGGTTTTATTCATTATTCCCCTCCTAATTCGTATTTTGATTTTTAAGTTTAGATTAATGCTTTTAGATTTTTATTTTTTATTTTTTATTTTTGTTCATATTGATACTTTGGATGTCTTTATATTAGAATAAATTGTCTTGATTTTTTGTTCTTTATTTTTAAAATCTTTATTCCAATTATAAGATTATACATAACCAAACAGCAATACTCGTAATCATTCAAATTCCACCCTATTACCAAATATACAAAATAGTTTCACCAAAACTCATTATTATTACCAAGTATTTGATTCCCATTCCAATTCGCATGTGAAAATCAAACACACCCTAAATTCTTAGCACTGCTCTTAGCAAACACATATGTTATTAGCAATAGTTCATTACCCTTAAATTTTGTACTGTATATATCTCTAATCTCTAAGCTCTAATCCCAATCTAATCCATCTATATCTATATCTATAATCTATAAGTAAAATCTAATAAGAGCTTAGCCAATAATATTAGTGTTTAACTTGAATGAAAATTGTATTAATAATATAAGTTATATAAGTGTTTGTTCTTTATGTTATTTGCGTTGCTCCTTTAATTTGCACCTTTTTATTTTTTTATTTTATTTTTTGCTTTTTTTAATTTTACCCCTCAAAATTTTCATTTTGATCTTTAATTTAACATTAGTCCTTTATTGGAATTGAGAATTTGTTAGTGATAGCATTAAATGTTTTTCTTTGGTTCTTTTTATGTTGTACATTTATACTTTTTTTTTTTTATCAAGTTTTACCTCAATTTTATTTTTCTTTTACTATTTATATACTTTTTTTTTTTTGAAATAACTAGTTATATACTTATATCTTCACTATGTAAAATACAAACACATGCATACATATATGTATATGTAATTTCAATAAATATATTTTAATTTAATAATAATTTTTAGTTAATGAATACACTATTTTAATATAATTTTCTTAATTGAATATTTAACTGCTTTGTATTTTATTTTTTAAAAATTCAAAGTTGACTTTTTTTTTTTTTTTTTTTTTTTGGTAAAAGAGTTATGTTTTTTCATTTGTATCTTATTTAATGTGGAATATATGCACCATTGACTTATTAACAAATCCAAGAAGATCGTGACCATCAAGAAAAGAAATAACCTGGGCTCTCCAAAACAGGTAGTTCTTGTAGATCAACTTAATACTGATGAAATGGTGAGCGGTCGATAAAGAATTAACCACTGACGTAGCGGAAGAGATCCGTCAGTCATTAGAAAGAAAGCTAAAGCTGATACTAGATGAGAGCTAATAGAGTTTTGTATTTAATGGAATAATACAATGTACAGATTATAGGTATATATAAGAAGGCAGTCGCAGAAAGACTGGATAGGGAATCATAATCAAACTCAAATACATAGAGTCCTAATAAAAATGACTAAAAGTGAACGGTCACCTATAAATCTAGGACGAAAAATGAAATTAACTCTAATAATATCAAGTCGATTCCTTGTCATTGTCATCCTTCTTACTCAGCTACGATAACATAATTAATAATAGTAGAAGAGAAATTTGAGTTTTTCAATCTGAATTCACAATCTCATCAAGGATAACAATGAGTGCAACAATGAAGGCATAGTCCACATTTGGTTTCACAGACACCATGAAATGGTTCCTTCCAAAGAATATGCCCTTCCTCTTCATCTGCAACCCCAAAATCAATCAAGGAATTCATTATATTGTAAAAACAAATAATATTACTCTATCTGTCTTATTTTATCTGTCATACTTATTATTCATTATTCAACTAAACTCTTTCTTCTTTACTTATTTTCTTTAGTATTTTTACTTATTTTTAAATTTAACTTTTTGTGTTTAATAGTACTTTTACTATAGTTTCTAAATATATAATTTTTGTATACTAATACCAAACTTAATATTATGAAAAATTGGATTAAAAATAATTTTAGTCAAGCCTCGTTAACTGAATTAGACACATAAAATGGGACGGAGTGAGTATTATATTGTACAAAAACCAAACTTAATATTATGAAAATTTGGATTAAAAATAACTTTAATCAAATCTCGTTAAACGAACTAGATACATAAAATGGGACAGAAATAATATTATATTGTAAAAAACCAAAAAGTAAGTAGAATAAGTAAAAAAGCTAACCTGAGCAATCAACAAAGAAGATGGTCCATAAATATCACACGTGTTGGCAGAGTTGGATGCCTTCATCTTGAAGTCACAAATCTTTTCCCCTATGTTATTCTGTAAGAACACATCTAAGTTTCTGTTAAATTGGAATGATGAAGAAATTCTAGCACTGAATATAATGTCTGTGTTTGCTTTGCTTTCTCCCCTAAACACTTGCCATCTGCTACGTCTTGAATTTACCTGCAAAAATTCAATTTTTTTTTATATTTTTATTTACTAATAAAAGAGACATATTGCAGTTGCAAGACAACCAGTCAACTATGTACGTACTTGTTAGGATCAAGCGCTTACCAGTCATGCTAAATGTTATAGTTAATTAGTAGCGAAGACTCAACTTTATTTCCATACTTATTGGCCGCCATTGTCGAGACGCTGGATGCTGGACTTGGCCCCAAGTCTTTTACTGGCCTCCGCCCAACAATTCCCCAGCCATTGAATGCTGGCTCTATTATTACTTGTTAGGATACCACTTACGCCAAAAGCTTTAGATAGTAGCGGAGACAAAACTTTATTTCTTTATTTATAGATCGTCATCACATTTTTCGAGACAATAAGTGCTGAACTTGGTCTTAAGCCCTTTACTAGTATCCACTCAACAATCCCAAACCACACCAACATCCGCCTAACAATCCAACCAGTTTTCCGGACAACATCGGAATTAATTTTGAATTAATTCTAATTTTGAATTTCAAATTAAAATATAAAATAATGGCTTGTTGTTTCAGATGTTACAAAGCCATGTATTGAATGATATTTAATCCTCAATCCCTATATAAGTAGTGGTAGAGCAGAAGTTTTTGAAACCAATAACAACACAACGAAACTTTGTTTTTCTCTCTCAAAATTCTGCTTCTACTCCTTTCTTGCTATTGTGTTCATCTCGTTGCTCTCGTTCGCCGAGTTCATTCGTTTGGGTGCTCAAACGTTGAATCGTAATACGTTTTATCCTGGAAAACCTAGGCTATAACACTCCTAGCACTTTTGGGAGGTAGCAAATAAGGTTTTAAGGAAAGATTATTTCGCTCGACTCATACTAACCACCTACCCCTTATTCTTTCGTATCTCATCGGTTATCAAGAAATGGGATTATGTTCTTAAATAAGAAATCCTCATTCTATATATATATATATATATATATATATATATATATATATATATATATATAGGGTGGCTTTCATGTAAGAACCCTTTGTTAGGTAGGAACATAAGAACTAATCCAATCCATTTAAACTTGCTTAATCAATGATCTAGATAATTAAACATTTTTATGTGCATCTTAATCATAATTAATTAAAAAGGATATTGGTATAATTTAGTCCAATTACCAATTAAAATCAAATATTATAATTTGATTCTTTCCAAGATTTTAGGATGATAAGATAAGAAAGGAGTCCTATTGATTTGAGAATTTGCATTCGTTTTATTTGTGATAGGGAATGAAGCACGGTCGTCCGCCGTTCATCTGATTTCGATGAGTGACGCAGACTGCAGATCATCCATGACTATTGGCAGAAACATTCTCGGGCACGTTGATGGTATTTATTATGAAGTGATCATTGTGTTCCATTGCGTTGCAGCTAAAACACCTCCAGTAGCATTTGCCTGAGCATCCTCAAGATCAGGAAATACATTATCATTGAAATCAAGTCCCGATTGTTGGTCACTAAACGGATCTGCCAATGAATCTTCAAATACGCAATCCGGTAGTACAGGTGTGCACTTAGGTTTATATGTATGTGCCATAATATGTAAAAATTCTGAGAGTTCAAATCCAAGGAAACCATGATGATGTTATACCTTTCGGTGTGTACTTCTGAGAAAATGGTCGTGCCATAACGTACAAATTACAAACTGAGAGCGGCTGGCAAGACGAAATTGAAGTTGGTGTGCACATGAGTTATACTGTGTGTGTCAAAGTGTGTAGTGGTACTGACAGATCGAAACCTCAGAAACCAGGATGAGGTACTGCACTATGGTGTGCACTTGGGTTGCACGTGTGTGTCATACTGTGCATAATTAGTTTCTGCACGAAAAGGTAAACAAGAATTAAGTTGGTGTGCAGAAGGGTTACACCATGTGTGCCATAATGTGTAGTACTATTGTGACCATTAACTAGCGTGCACTTAGGTTGATCTGTGTGTGCCATTATGTGCAAAAATTGTAATAGAATGAGTCCACGGAAACCAGGATGTTGTTATACACTTCTGTGTGCACTTGCGTAAAAATATTTGTGCCATAACGTAGAGGATGAGTGTGTGCCATACTGCGCATTGTGTGTGCCTAAATGTGCAAAACGACTAATAGAATGTAATCGCGGAAGCCAGATTGATACTACTAATAGAATATATGTAGCTCGTAGGTTGAACTGTGAGTGTCACAATGTGCAAAAATACTACTAGTAGAATGCATCTCTTAGGTTGAGTTGTGTGTGCCATAATGTGCAAAAATACTGATAGATTGAATCCGCGTAAACCAGGATGATGTTAATGATGACGTTGTGCACATGGGTAAAATTGAGTGTGTCATAATGTGTAGAATTATTGTGACAATGAACTTGTGTGCACTTAGGTTGATTTGTGTGAGCCATTTGCAAAAATTCTAATAGATTGAATCCACAAAAACTATGATGATGTTATACACTTCTGTGTGCACTTGCGTTAAAATGACTGTGTCATAACGTAGACGATGAGTGTGTCAGTGTGTGCAAGACTGAATTGTGTGTGCCTAAATGTGCAAAATTACTAATAGAACGTAATTGCGGAAGGCAGATTGATACTACTAATAGAATGTAGCTCTTATATTGATTTGTGTGTGCCATAATGTGCAAAAATACTGATAGATCAAATTTGCATAAGCCATGATGATGCTGTGCACTTGGATAATACTATGTGTGAAATAATATTTGGAAACTTTTTATTTTTTAGAAAAATAAAAAATAATAACATAAAAATGAAGATGGTATTCAAGTGAGTTTTGTTTTTTTTTTTTTTTTTTTTTTTTTGTTTTTAAATGGAATTTATATTTAAAGTATAGAACATTAATAATTTAAAATTAAATTACACTGGAAAAAATACTATATAGAATGTAGTTCTTAGCTTGAACTGTAAGTGCCATAATGTGCAAAAATACTGATAGATCGAATACACGTAAATCAGGATGATGTTAAAGATGACGTTGTGCACTTGGGTAAAACTAAGTGTTCCATAATGTGTAGAATTATTGTGACCATAAACTGGCGTGCACTTAGGTTGATCTGTGTGTGTCATTATGTGCAAAAATTCTAATAGATTGAATTCATGAAAACCAAGATGATGTTAAACAATTCTATGTGCACTTGCGTTAAAATGACTGTTCCATAACGTAGAGGATGAGTGTGTGTCATTCTGCATTGTGTGTGCCAAAATGTCCATGGATTATGTGAATGACCACAAATAGATGGTGCCAAAATGTAGATGGTTTGTTGATGAAGAGTTACAAGTATAAGATCATTTACTTGAAGTAAGCGAATTCTTAATTGCATTGCTTATAGCAATTAGATGCTTAGACTCCCACTGCAGTGCACATCTGAGTAAACATAATGGCCAGAAAAATTTTTTGCGTACGTAATAGTTCCAAATTTTATGCACTTATAAGCATTGTTAAAAAAATATTTACAAAATAAGCAATTGCATATGTGTTATGAGCAAAGTAGAGGGGAATGCCTTTTACAATCCAACATTCATCACAAATAGAAATGAAATAGCAGATATACAGTTGCCAGCATATAATGAATGCACAAAATATGGATACAAAGAAAGGACTCTCCACTTTTTCAAGTTATTGTATTCGCCGTTCCAAGGTCTAAAAAAATCACTCCCCTCAAAAACAAATCCAGTGATTAATATCTCAACTACAAGCCGTTGAATTAAAAAATTCATGTCAAAAGAACTCACCAGAGATATAATCTAAGAGACAAATCTAAAACATGTTTAGCTTAGCTTAGCTTCTCTGTTCACATTCTCCTGCCTCCCTCAGCTCCTTATAAATTCCAACATATCCTTTTTTTTTTCTCTCTACTTAAACAATTTCACTTCACAATTGACACCCAATTCGCTGACAATGGAGAAGAATGAGTAGAGAGAGACTCCCGACTTCATGAATGTTGACTCCTTCTATCAGCTTCCCTTCATCCGCCCTACGCCACTCAAAGCGGAGAAGGCCGGACATTAGGCTCTTCGGCAAAGACTTTGACGGCAGTGGCGGCACGGAGCACGACTCCAAATCCAACGACACCCGCCGCCGTACGAGGAGAGGACAACAACGACGGCGAAAGCAGCCGAAAATTTGAGTGCCACTACTGCTGCTGGAACTTCCCCATTTCCCAGGTCCTCAGCGGCCACCAGAACGCCCACAAGCGCGAACGCCAGCACGACAAATGGGCCAACCTCCAGTCTTCCATGGTCCACGAAAATATAGAAATTGTGAGACGGAGAACTAAAGCAGCAACGAGGGAGAGCAGAAACCAATCACAAATTGGGCGTGAGGAAGCTTTGCGACGACGATATGATAGAGTCGAAGTGTCCAACCTATGACTCTCAACTTGAGATTGCGAATTACGAATATCCAGCGAGAAATACGACACCTTCCACCCACATACACAACCCAAAAAACCTAAAATACCCCTATTTGTCTAAAATATAACTTAATCAATGAAAAAAACACCCATTAAGAATGATTAAATAAAATAAAAGGCTTAGATTAGTTCTTATATTCCTACCTAAAGATGAGTTCCTATATGATTGTTATTCTATATATATATATATATATATATATATATATATATATATATATATATATATATATATATAGGGAAGGGTTCATGTGCGGGTATAGCTTCCTGTGCGGTTAGATTTGAGTCGTTAATCAAATCTAGATCAACGGCCAAATCAATGAAAATTAAAAAAAAAAAAAAAAAAAAAAAAAAAAAACGCGTGTCTGGAAGAAAGCCATGCACCTTTAAGTATTAGATCTTAAGCACAAACTCACGCACACTAAGTACAAAACCCACGCACATTAAGCACAATCTCACGCACATTAAGCACAAAACCCACGCATTTAAGTATTAACTCACAAACCTTAAGTTTCAACAACTACTGACATTAAGCACAAACTCACGCACACTAAGTACAAAACCCACGCACATTAAGCACAATCTCAGACACATTAAACACAAAACCCATGCACTTAAGTATTAACTCACAGACTTTAAGTTTCAACAATTACTGACATTAATCACTAACCTCACACACATTAAGCACAAACCCTATGCAAATTAAACACAAACTCCACTCACATTAAGAACAAATCTCACGCACCTTAAACACAAAAGTCCACACTTTAAGTTTTACCAGCTACTCACATTAAGCACAACCCCACGCACATTAAGAACAAAACTCACGCACCTTATGCACAAGACTCACGCATCTTATATACAAAACTCACGCACATTAATCACAGAACCGCTCACATTAATTTTGACCTAATTTCAAAAATTACAAAATTTCCACCGCGTATTTTTTTAAAAAAATTTTGGTAATCCTAGACATTGATTTAAGCGAGATGAATGACCAAATTAAACCGCACAACCGCACCTGAGCACTCTAACCGCACCAGAACCTCATTCTATATATATATATATATAAATATATATATATAAGGGATCAGGTGCATTTGTGGCTTCCCGTGTGGTTGTGCTGTTGATTAATGTGCGTGAGTTTTATACTTAATGTGCGTGAGTCTTGTGCTTAATGTGCTTGAGATTTGTACTTAATGTGCGTGAGTGTGTAATGTTAATGTGCGTGAGTTTTGTACTTAATGTGCCTGAGTATTGTGTTTAATGTGCGAGAAGTTTGTGCTTAATGTGCGTGACTTTTAACACAATCGCACAGGAAGCTATAAACAAAATACATTCAGACCACAAACTCACACACATTAAACACAAAAGTCAGACGAAGACGAAGACGTATATGATGAAGAACAGAGAGAGGGGAAGAGAGGATTAAGGGAATAGGAAGAGAAGACGAAGACGTATGGATTAAGGGAAAAGAGAGGAAGAGAGGATTAAGGGAAAAGAGAGGAAGAGAAGACGAAGACGAAGACGAAGACGTATATGTACAGGAGCAACAGGAGCACATTAACATTACACACTCACGCACATTAAGTACAAATCTCAGGCACATTAAACACAAGACTCAGGCACATTAAGTACAAAACTCACGCACATTAACATTACACACTCATGCACATTAAGTACAAAGCTCAGGCACATTAAGCACAAGACTCACGCACATTAAGTACAAAACTCACGCACATTAATCAACCGCACAACCGCAAGGGAAGCACCCAACCGCATTGGAACCTTTCTCTCTCTCTCTCTCTCTCTCTCTCTCTATATATATATATATATATATATATATATATATATATATATATATATATATATATATATATATATATATATATTTATATATTTATATATATTTATATATATTTAAGTTCCAGTGCGGGTAAATGTTTTCCATGCGGTTGTGCGGTTTTAAGGTGCGTGAGTTTTGTACTTAAAGGTGCGTGAGTCTTGTGCTTAAGGTACGTGAGTTTTGTACTTAAAGGTGTGTGAGTCTTGTGCTTAAGGTGCGTGAGTTTTGTGCTTAAGGTGCGTGGGTTTGTGCTTAATGTGAGTTGTTGTTGAAACTTAAGGTGTGTGAGTTTTGTGCTTAAGGTGCGTGGGTTTTGTGTGCTTAAGGTGCGTGAGTTTTGTGCTTAAGGTGCGTGAGTTTGTGCTTAATGTGAGTAGTTGTTGAAACTTAGGTGCGTGTGTTTTGTGCTTAAGGTGCGTGAATTTTATGCTTAAGGTGGGTGGGTTTGTGTTCTTAAGGTGTTTTGTTTGTGTACTTAATGTGCGTGTGTTTTATACTTAAAGTGCGTCAATTTAATGCTTAATGTGCGTCCACACGCACAACTGCACGGAAAGCCCTCCCGCACTTATATATATATAGAGTAAGGTTCGAGTGCGGCGATGTCCTTAGGTGCGGCGGTGCGGCGTCGCTAATAGTTCAACAAATATGCACCATCAACGTTAGAAAAATACACCACAAAAACAAATACAAATTAGGTACGCATCACAAAAAACACACCATTAGGTGTGAGTAAAAACACCATACAGTGTTCGGAAACACAACATTGGGGTGTTGTGAGTTATATGATGTATTTTTTTTTGATATGTTGTGTATTTTTTGGTGTTCTTTTGCTTCATTGTGGTGTGTTTCTCTTACATTGTTGGTGCATGTTGTTAACACTGTTGGTGTATTCTGAAATTCCGTCGCACCACTGCACCTAAAGATATCGCCGCATTTGAACTTTTTCATATATATATATATATATATATATATATATATATATATATATATATATATATATATATATATATATATATATGAGATCGTATGAGAACACCTGCTTAGGTGAGAACGTGAGAACAAATCGTGTGCATCCATCTCATATTTTTAATGGTCTAGATTAGATTAAGTGTGTGCGAACGCGCATTAAATGTGTGCAAACGCGATTAAGTATGTTTACACACATTTAATTCGCGTTCGCACATACTTAATCTAATCTATACCATTAAAAAATATTAGATGATGCACATGATGTGTTCTCATGTTCTCCCCTAAGTACATGTTCTCACTGGAACCCTACCCTATATATATATATATATATATATATATATATATATATATATATTCGTATGTGCATATATATAAATATTATTTTTGCCATTAAACGACTTGTTCATTTTCCTAGAACAATCCCTAATCACACCAGCATCTGCCTAACAATTCCTAACCATATGGTATTAGACTTGGCTTTTACCGGCCTACGCCCAATAGTACTATCGTAAGGTTATGAGAAATTAAAATGGTACCTTTGGGCGTAGAGTAACGATTGGGTTTCCGACAGCATCATAGATGACCACCTTGCTACTGAAGAAGGAATTGATCCTTTTGACCTTGAAGAGGAATCTGCCATATTTATCATCTTTGACTTCATATTCACGGCTGCTAAGGAAATAGTGTTTCTTCTTCATGGAAAGTTGAAAGGGCTGAGGGGCACAGTAATTGGGGCTGATCACTGCATTTGGATTGCCAAAGGGCATTTGAAGCGACGACATGGTTTTATTTTTCTCTTGTAAAATCGATCTCTGCAAAATCTACTGTACTGATGACTGATTAAAATAAATTATTGTAAGAATATGTGATGTTTTCTATATATGTTTGTGGTTAGTATGGTATTATATTGTTATTAGTCAACGCCTTCCTCGCATATCCAATGGGGATTTTGCCGTGCTGATCAAGAATATAATTTTAATTGCTATAAACATATCTATCTATCTACTATCTACTATTATATTATATTATATATATATATATATATATATATATATATATATATATATATATATATATATATATATATATATACTAATAAGAGCCCAAGAGAGTTAGGCCTATAATGGGTAGAAAAAATGGCGGTCACAGATTTTAATCAAATGAATGGCTCAAATTGATTGAAAGATTGATCAGATTTAAATTTTACACTAAAATTTCTTAAAATACCCACACACCGTTACTAATTCCGTTAAAATTTTAAGAATTGCCGTTAGTTCACCGTTAACTTACTCATTGATTTCAATAGAAAAAGGTCTTAGGTTCGAATCTCATCCCAATCAAAGTTGACATAATTAGTACTATATTTTGCTCTTATTAAATTATATAAATAATAATTTAGTAGTTACAACAAAAAATAATACATATGCATTTCTTTAATTTATAATTATGTATCCACAATGCCTTTATTTAAAAAAAAAAAATTATTCATTATCAATAAATTAAATAAGAGAAATAATTTTATTAGTTATATTGTCTTTATTTTTCTTCAATATAAAAATTTTTTATATTCAAATTTATTAATTGATTATATTCGCTACATTATCCTTACAATGTCTTTATTCAGTGAAAAAAAATTATTAATTATCAATAAATTAATTAAAAGAAATATTTTCATTAGTTATATTGTCTTTATTTTTCTCAAATGTAAATATTTTTACATTCAAATTCATCAATTGATTATATTCACTACATTATCTATTATCTTTTTTGTGCACTATTTTTCTAATTAAATATCAAAGTTATAATACAAAATAATGCTATATATTTATTTACCAAGTATTTTATTAATACCATGAAAAAATTTAAAAAATATAATTAATAAAGCCAACCATATTAACTACTTGAGAGATTATGTGACAAAGAGAGTATTCAAATCACACAACAAATTGAAGTGAGAACTACCTCGCAATGTCCTTGTTTGACAATCAGCAGTTAGCGGTTAGCGTTAGCGGATTGTACTAGCAGATTTAACCAGCGAATTTATTTAATTATTAACATTGGGTAGAAAAAATGACTGCCAAATTATTAAATCAAATGAATGGTTCATATTGTTCAGGTTTTAATTTTTTTCTTTTAAGATTTTCTAATTTATCCTTAATTATATGATTATCCATTTATTTTTTTCCGTTAATTCACCGTTAGTCTAATTCTAATATTAAAGTCTAATATAGAATTATAACTACACCATTAATCTAATTCTAATATTAAAGTCTTAATAGAACTTAACCACAAATCCTAATGTCGGAATCTCCTCAAACAATATTAGTATATATTTAATATTTTATGCCCTAATTTTTATTTGTTCTCGCTTATGTCCCGTATTTGGTTTCAACCATACCTATACAATTATTTTATTGACAATTATAATCAATCTTGACTATATTATCTTGCATTTGTAAACTTAGAATTACCTATTTAACCCGCACGGGCTTAGCTCAATGGTTTAGTGGGTAGTATTTGGGAGAAGAGACCAAGGTTTGAACCTCGGCGGCGGCAGTGCGGGAATTATGTCCAAAGTGGGTAGATTCCTTGTTCATATCAGCATTTGGCTCTGTCTGCTGAACCATTGAGTCACCGTGATTTACAACTTCCCACAATGCTCTGTCGGGTCGGAGTGTAGGGGGCCCTTGGGGTTGGGGACTCAACCTTTGGGAGAAGAATTACCTATTTAAATACGCAAATTCAACCTTCAATTATCTATGCATGAACAATTTCAATATAATCCTGCCTTAATATACTTTAAAGTACTTATTTAAAAAAAAAATACTTTAAAGTACTTATTTAAAAAAAAAAACATTGGACATTATCTCAATCGCGCAATGCGCGTAAAAAACTAGTCTTATAATAAGCTGGACTGGCAACGAGGCGTGCGAGGAGAAGAGTTGAATAGTACATTCCAATTCCCAGTGTAAAACAAGAGAATTGAGGGGGTGTTTGGTTGGTATGAATTGTATTGGAATTGAATTGTAATTCTATGAAATGATAAACTACATTGTTTGGTTGAAGAGAATTGTAATTCCATGAAATAAAGTGTATCTATTTTAATATGATTTTCTTATTTGAATATTTAACTGCTTTATATTTTATTTTTTTTTATTAAATTCAAAATTGACTTCTTTTTTTTTTTTTTTTTTTTTTTTTGTAAAAGAGTTATGTTTTTTCATTTGTATCTTATTTAATGTGGAATATATGCACCATTGGCTTATTGTCAACAAAGCATTTATGTGTCATTTATTATGCTATTGATTTTAAAATCTAATTGTAATAGAAAAATTATCAAGAAAAACTAATTGCATTTGTCAAAAGCTAAATCTAATCTTTTTGAAATACAATACCTAGTAATTTAATGCATATTTTGACATTTATGCTAGATAATAATTTTTCTTATCATCAAAAATTAAAATTCCATCTTCTAATATTTATAAAATTTATGTTTATTTATTTCGATTATTTAATTTTACTAATTTTTCTTGTTCATCAGATATTTTTCAATCACACATGGTGCGTATTTACAACTAGTATTTAAAATAAATATGATAGACAGAGTATTTAGTAAATCGTTATACTATAAATCATGATCCTCCCTTCAAAAAAAAAAAAAAATAAATCATGATCCTCATTACTACTTTGAGAAGATAGAGCACTTGTAGTTTGAGGAAGGTATATATAGTAGTTTCATGTTTATCAAACTCCCTACGTACAGTTGCTACATATATAAATGTCCCTAGCTCCTTTAATTATTTGAATAATTTTGCTCACCCAATCGTATAAACAACCATTGGCAAATCGAACACCAAGATATCAACACTCAACATGTCTTATGCTCCCATGCACATATGACTATAATTGATTGATGGAGTAATAGAATTGACTATTTGTGCTTCAATAGATTGAGAAAGTATGTATGAACAGATACTACATCGTAACAGAGTCAATAGTACTAAAAAAAAAAAAACTTATTTTAAACTATATATTCAGTATTCAACCCTTCTACTGCAGTTTAGCATATCTTCACCAACGGAAAGAACACCAAGCTAAGGTAGGTACCTTAAAAGGAGTCGTCTCAGAAATGGGTCGCTGCCCAGACGGCATTAAGATTGTCTGACTGATGTTGCCAATAATTGACCCGGCCCCATTTAACGAGGATGAAAGAATTGAAGCTTCTCGATTGGCCTTATTGAACAAATCCTGAAAACTTGTTTCATACATGTTCCCATTAGAAAGAACATCACAACAATCAAATGATCGAGACCAGGCAGCACTCTTAGCTTCATACCGTTTCAACATCAGAGCCAGTAAAACCAAGCATGAGAGTGAAAGTAAAGCCTGAAGAGGCCGGAGCTGCGAGCAAAATGGTGAATGAGCTTTGATTTGGCTGACGAGAGGAGTCCATGAAGTGGTTGGAGATAGGAGCATGGCAACTGACTCCATTTTTTCTGCTCCATTTTCATGTTTCATTCCTTAAAGCTGACTAGAAGAGACCAACAAATTTGCTTCTAAATTAAAGAAATAAAAAAAAAAAAGGTTCAGTCCTTTCAAACAAAAAAAAAAAAAGGGTTCAGTACAGGGGAAAACATCATTCAAACCTATATAAGCAAAATAATTAATTAATTATTTCAGTATAGGGATATCACATGGCAGAGAGAAGAGACAGATGTGGATAAGGTATAAAATATGAAGGAGTATTTCAAAGATGCATCTAAAGAATACTGAATGTACATCACCATATATATATTTCAAAAGAAAAAAATATTAGAACTGGCAACTGAAATATTCACTTTGTATCTAGTTGTTATAATCTAAGATTAGGCCCAGGTCACTCATCTAGTAGGCTCTAATGCTTCATGGGCCAAACCACACTATGAATGTCTGAATCCAATCAATTAGCTAGTCTAACCCATATGTTCTCTCTTATTTTTTTCAATGTGGGACTCTTAACAATAGTCTTCAATTAGACTAACAACTGCTAAACAGCATAATGTTTGAATTGAGTAAACAAATGCTCAGAACAAAAGTATAAGGCTCCAGTATTAAAATGTCCTAAAGTGTGAGAAAGCACTTTATAGGAGCCTAGTTAGGGCTCAAAAAAACTAGTATCGCTTTCCATAATATTAACCAGTGAACCATTCAACTTTCAATTGATAGATAAACTTCATAGTGTCAAAAGGAAATATTACTTCTAAAATATATTACTATAAATATAAATTTGCAACTACATAACATCTATCTATCAGATGTATATTTCATCACCAATTCTAAGGCTTCAAAGAATGATATATATAGTTATATACCTCCACGACCTCGAGAGCCAATATGTAATCCACCACGTACTATGACGACTTAAGGGGTCCTCTTTGGATTTGAATTATCACATTCAGGGTTCAGGGGAGATGTGGATGAAGATTCAGAGTCATTGAATTGAGACAGTGAGACTGGAAGCCTCTGAAAATGTTTTCTAGAATGCCCAACGAAGCTCCACTATGAGACAGGGATGAAACATAGTTTTGACAGCTTCCTGATTCATCAAGAATATTAATGAGTGGCTAGTATGCAACCTCGATCAAATTTTAAAATAAGTAACTAAGTGACACCAGAAAGATGTTTTGCAACCACCAACTACCTGAAGCTGATAGATATATTAAGAGTACACCATCTGGAGGAAGCTCCTCGATCGCAGGTTGTTGCCAAAACCTACCCACAGATGTAAATTTAATGTTAAAACAGAACAAAGTTTGGAGAGTATCTTTCCTGGAAAATACATGCAAATGCCATCAAGTAGATACTCCAAAAGCTTAATATATATAGTTAATAAACCTCCAAAACTATGAGTCTACTAGCAGGTGTCACTACATTGATCTCAATAACTAAAGAGAAATATATCATAATTCAAAATCAAGAAAGAATGAAACCTCTGAGTAGGCTAAGCTTCCCAAACTTCAGAAAATATTACTTCAAAAGATAGATGGAATCATCACTGTCCACTGAACAAGGGTTGCAAGACAGTCACAAATCACCCATTTACAAAGGCAAATGGAATGGCAAGTTATTGCTGATATTTCCAAAAGAAGATCGATAATTTTTATTCATTGCACTGACCTCATTAGGATGGTAACTGCATAATACTGCATCTCTTAACCTCGATCAGCTTTCTCTTTGCTTCAACGACATGTGGCAGACAATCTATACGAAGGTCCAATGCAACACTATACCTCAACGGTCTGATATTCATAAAAGCAAGCTGTGTCAGCTTTTAGAAATTTAACTATTTCCTGAATCACCACCTTCCATTCTTTAAAATCAGTGAACCATTCAACTTTCAATTGATAGATAAACTTCATAGTGTCAAAAGGAAATATTGCTTCTAAAATATTACTATAAATATAAATTTGCAACTACATAATATCTATCAGATGTATATTTCATCATCAATTCTAATATGATAGAATTTTGTTAAACATTGCCTCATTTTTTGATAACTTGAAGATTATATTTTCACTGTTATTCGTTGCCATGATAGATTAATATTGAATTAGTGTATTAAATATGAAAATTTTACAAACATTGCCTGATTTTTTTTTAATATACTGATAGATATGAAAGGAACCTTACAAATCAAAATGCCAACATAACTTAAAAATATACTTTAATACTTTTCTCTATGTGTATCACATAGAGAAGAAAATTCTTTAACAAATAAATTAACCATATAATAACCAACAAAAATTCAGTTCCTTATGTTCTACTCAATGCACTATGCAAAAACTATATAACTCACATACAAACAATAGGCACAATAAATTACCTCTTTTCAGCTTTGACAGACTCAGCTTGCCTGAAGCCCTCCTTGCTCACAGAACTATTGTACACTAAAGTTTTCAAGGCAGGCCATTACAGAAGCATCATATTCCAACCCACGGTTTTTTTGTTTTGGAATAATACCTGATTGCAAATTCCCTTGGAATAACTTTAGTTCATGAACTAGACTAGAAACTTCAATTCATGGCATAGACTTTAGTCCATTGTATGATGAAAATCATTTGTCAACTGGTCAAGATCAAGTCACCAATAATCATTACAAGAGCATGTGCCATCACAAAAATGGTGGAAGTGAGTAACATCACGAATGACTATTTCTCGATGTGTTATGCCTGACAACAGCTTCATAAATTCATGGCAATCTCCACAAATGCGTAGATTTTTGAAGATTCTTATAGTATTGTTAGTATTGTCATTTAAGAGTGCAAAAGCTAGAGCCAGCCTTTCACTATGATGTAGGAGGTTTGCTCTTTTTTCATGGTCTGTTACATTATGAAGTGAATAATCCTTGTTTGGAATATAGCCTGCTGAATTAAGTTGTAAATACAGCTCATCCAATTTTTTGTGGATATCAGTTAATCTTGGATGTGAAGCATCCTGAGACAAAAAGACATGGATTTGAGCATTGACCTCAACCCAGCTACAACCAGGTTCCTTTTTAATGCCCTGGTCAGACATAAATGCTCTCAACTTTGCAACATCATTCCACATCCCTTTGGCAGCATATATATTGGACAGCAGTATGTAACTTGACTCCACTTTAGGTTCAAATTCAAATAGAAATTTTGCGGCTTTCTCTGCCAATTCAATGTTTCCATGAATCGTACAAGCACCAAGAACAGTTTCCCAGATTAATGCATTTGGAGTAAGCTCCATATGTTCAATGAAGTTTTTCACCTCATCAAATTTGCCTGCTCGACCAAGGACATCAACCATACAAGCATAGTGCTCAATGGAAGGAATGATTCCATAAGTGTTGTTTATTGACTCAAAATATCTTCTCCCTTCATCAACTAAGCCCATGTGGCTACATGCAGAAAGAACACCAATAAAAGTAATCGCATCTGGCAAAATACCTTCATTCAACATCCTTCTGAAAGCTTGTAGAGCCTTTTTGCCCTGTACGTGTTGCGAGTATGAACATATCATTGTGTTCCATAAAACAGTATCACAAGAATCCATGCCCTCAAACAGAATTTCAGCATCAGCAACGCATCCACATTTACCATACATATCAGCTAATGCACTGGCCACAAACAAATCACTAAATTGCCCAGATTTAACTGCTAAGCAATGCAACTGTCTTCCATTACTAAGGCTTGCTATACGTGAAGTGCCATTCACACAACTTGCAAGAGTGAATTCATTTGGCTTGACACCTTCCATTAACATCTTACTTAAACATTCAAAGGCTTTTTCTCCCTGATCACTCTGTGCATAGCCTGCAGTCATCACTGTCCATGTAAACACATCTTTTTGAGTCAACCTATTGAAAATAACTTCCACATCATTTAGGCACCCACATTTAGAATACATGTCAATAAGAGAAGTCCCAACATAACAATCACAGCTCAAGTTTTCTTTTACTACATGAGCATGTATTTGCTTCCCAAGACTAACATTTGACAAACTGGAACAAGCCCTTAGAATGCTGATAAATGTGTACATATTTGGCTTGAAACCTTCAATAAGCATCTGTCTGAAGATTTCAGGCCCTTCATGAGATGTTTCATTGTCATGGAATCCAGATAAAAGTCTATTCCAAGAAATCACATCCCTTGAATCTATAGAAACAAAAACCTTGTAACCATCATTAAATGATCCAAAATTCATGTACATTGAGATAAGCGTGTTGTTAACCACATCCTCAGAGTCAAACCCAAACTTGTAAACACAAGCATGTATGCTTTTGCAAAAAAGTAAATCACCTAAATCAGCTGCAGCACTAATAACACATGCAAGAGTGAATTGATTAGGCCTCACATCTGAATGCCTCATCAATTGAAACAGCTGAAATGCTTCTTTTTTATGTCCCTGTTGATCAAGGCCATTAATCATCGTACTCCATGCAACAACATCAGGACTTCTTATTCTCTTAAATACCTTCATAGAATCCTCAGGCAATCTAACCTTGGAATACATATCTACTAGACTAGAGCTTATATAATTATCAAGTTCACTTCCAATCTTGATTGCCACCGAATGAAGAACTTGGCCAACTCTCAAGTTACCCACATTAGCACAACTCTTTAAAACAGTACTTAATGTATAATTGCTAAATCTAAATTCTGACTCAGACAAACTACAAAATAATCTTAAGACCTCTTGCCATTCACCTTCTTGTGCATACCCATTAAGCAAGGCATTCCAAGATACTAAATTCTGCTCAGACATATGAAGAAATACTGTTTTTGCCTCCTCCATCTGATGGCATTTAGCATAGAGATCAATAAGCGCAGAACCAATATAAACATCAGAAAAGGTGTCAGATTTTACTACCTCAGCATGCAACTGCTTCCCAAACTCTAAATTCAAGCACAAAGAACAACCCTTCAAAACTGTCGCCAATGTAAATCCATTAGGCTTCACACCTTCTCTCTTCATCTCACAAAACAATCTAACACTCTCACCACCATTCCCTTCAGGTAGAAATCCTGATATTAGTGATGTCCATGATACAACATCCCTCTCAGGCATTTGATCAAACACTTTGCATGCAGAACTTAGATCCCCAGATTTTGCATAAAAATTAATCAAGGAAACATACAAATGCATATCCGGGTTAATTAAATTTCTAACTAGCTCCCCATGAAGCACTTTTCCTTCTTTCAAATTTTTCGTTTGCGTATAATCTCGGAACATTTCAGAATACCGTTTAAGATCCCTCTTCCTACTTTTCCCAACTTTAGTAATACCTTGAAATCCAGAGGAGGCATGAAATTTTGAACTATTTGGCACGGTTTCTCTTTTAACAGTTGGGAGAATAGCAGAAGAGCAAGAATAAAAGCGAATGGAGGGAAAATGAATGGACCGCCGTGGTGAGCTAAACATCTGTGCAGAGCTAAACATCTGCCAGAATTTCCTTTGAGTAGGAGCAAAGTTAAAATGAATTCAAAAATATTCAAATACAACGTTCAAGGTTGACCTCACATTTATAGTTAGCAAGTTACTAGGCTGACCAAATTCAATAGGTTACCTCACATTTTTACCTCTTTTTCTTTTAAATAAACTTCTATCACTGTAAGAAAAGTGGATAGAATGTACAGAAATTAACCTTTCCAAAGGGTGAAACAAGCTGCTGCAGAGCTGCAATTCTGTCACCGAGTCTCTCTTGCCCTGCAAATTCATATTACTCCCATTAACCTCTTCTTTCAATTTGTTTTCAGTTCAAGACTCCAACACAGCACAAATTAACTACCAAGTACCAACATTCTTGTTTTTTAATTACGGCAAAAAATATAATATTGTTTTAGAAGGAGGGCATGTCAAGACTAGCTTAATGTCGAGAGTCTCGTGAATTCCTTGACTACTTGCGACCAAATCTCTGAGGTAAGAAAATAAATTACCTGGTGGTGGCTGGTGGTTCACTGCCTCACTGCTAGAATGTCGTACTGCCGGAGGTTCGACGATGGGCCTGCGGGCTGCGACTCTGCGAGTGGTGCGACGATGGGAGTGATTATCGGAGACCGAAGAGCTGCGTCGCTGGGACTCGTCGCTGGCTCGCTTCTCAGAGTGCTCGACTGCTAGTTGGCGACGTTTGGGGACAGTGGTCAGTGGGGAGAAGAGACGAAGACTCGAAGAGTGATTAGGGATTAAAGTAATGTACTAACTACTAATGTAATGTTTTATTTTTTGAAAAAATAGGCGGCCCGTCAGCCTGCCCCCCTAGCCCCAATAGTTATGCCGGCAACCGAATGTACCATGCGCATGGTGCATATGATGCAAAACGACGTCGTTTTGATTAAAAATGTGAGTCTCATTTAAAAAAATTCAGGTTTGATTTTTGGCAATAGCATTATTGTGGATATATAGTTATGAATTTCTGGATATATAGTTATAAATTTGTGGATATTTAGGGTGTGTTTGGTTCGCACATAGGAATCGGAATCGGAATGGGTATCAAATACTTGGTAATGGTAATGGGTTTTGGTGAAAGTATTTAACATGTTTGGTAGTAAGGTGGAATGGGAATGGTTATTAATAGTAGTGCTGGATAATGAATAAGGGAATGAAACGCTTATTGTATTTGGGTATGAGTTTTTCAATTGATGGGGTATTCGAAACCCATAGTAGTGTTCTAAAAACCTAGCAACCAAACAACACCAATCACTTTCATACTCATTCATATGGGCAAAACCCACCAACCAAACACACCCTTAGTTCATTCATTGTAGATATTTACTTCATTCATTCACTGTGGATATATAGTTATGAATTTATGGATATATAGTTATGAACTTATGGATATTTAGTTCATTCATTGTGGATTTTTACTTCATTCATTCATTCATTGTGGATTTTTACTCCATTCATATTCATTGTGAATTTTTACTTCATTCATTCACTATGGATATATAATTATGAATTTGTGGATGCACATGATATTATAAAACTAGTAACCTTGTTGTATGAAACAACATACATAACACATACATACCACATTACTCAACATACATAACACATACATACCAGCACAACATATGATATAGCAATGGGAATACCAGTAGCCATTGAAGCAGCACAATGGAACAGTGTTTGGAAGTTAAAGGTTCCAAACCGCATTCGAACATTCCTATTGCTTGTTAGTCATGATAAGTTGATGACCAACCAGAATAGGGTCAAAAATAGATTCCTTAATTAAAATATAAAAAATATTATTTAATAACTTAGCAATTTACTCCAAATTGCTAAAAATTAAAACAATACATATACATTTGGGTTAATCTTTTCCAAACCCCCTAATAATAATTTAAAAAAAAACTAAAATAAAAAGTTATTAAACTAAGGCTTCTTAAATAAGAGCATTTTGGCTCCTTAATACTTGCCTACATTGATGGGCAAGCAATTATGTTTGTAAGAGGAGCATTGCCCCTCTTATATAAAGGACCTCAAGAGCTCATATTTCCAAACATTTTTGATGTGAGATCAAAATGGTTCCATATCATTTACAAAGGGGAGCCACGGGCTCCCCCATTTTTTTTTCTTTTTTTTTTTTAAATATTAATTTTATTTTGTATATAGGTTTGTTTTGATTATTATTATTATTATTGTAATTCTATTTTATTATTACATAATAATAATAATAATAATAATAATAATAATAATAATAATATAAATTTTCTTTTAGACAATTTTTTACTATGCAGCTAAACATTAAAAAGAAAAATATTTAAAAAAAAAAAAAAAAGAAATTAAACTAAGGCTTCTTAAATAAGAGCATTTTGGCTTCTCAATACTTGCCCATTTTGATGGGCAAGCAATTATATTTGGAAGAGGAAGAGGGCCTCTTTCCAAACATTTTCAATGTGCGATCAAACATCATTTACAAAAGGGAGCCAATGTCTTTTTTTCTTTTTAATTTTAATTTTATTTTGTATATAATTTTGTTTTGATTATTATTATATTTTTTGAAAGGTGATTATTATTATTATATTATTATTATATTATTATATTATTATTATTGTAATTTTATTTTATTATTACAATATTACATAATAATAATAATAATAATAATAATAATAATAATAATAATATACATTTTCTTTTAAAAAAAAAATTTGTTGTGTAGCCAAACATTAAAAAGAAAAACGTTTTCTAAAAAAAAATAAAATAAGAAGCAATTAAGCTAAGACTTCTCCCTTAAAAAAAATAAAAATAAAAAAAAATAAAAAAAAAAAAAAAAAAAAAAAAAAAGCTAAAACATTTTAAATAAGAGACTTTTGGCTTCTCAATACTTGCCCATATTGATGTGCAAACAATTATGTTTGGAATATATAGAGGAGCTCAAGAGCTCCTCTTTCCAATCATTTTTGCTTACAAATGAGAGTCAGTGGTTCATCTTTGTCTTCTTTTTTTTCTTTTTTTTTTTAATTTTATTTTGTATATAGTTTTGTTTTGATTATTATTATATTATTAATTATTAATTATTAATATTATTATTTTAATTGTAATTTTATTTTATTATTACTTTATTACATAATAATAATAATAATAATAATAATAATAATAATAATAATAATAATAATAATAATAATATAAATTTTCTTTTAGACAATTTTATGCTGAAAAGAAAAATGTTTTCTGAAAAGTAATTCATTTTCCAGAAATCATTTTCCTACTTTCCAAACGAACTTTAATATCTATACAATTAATTTGTTAAATGTCATAATAATTATTAGATAATCGCATTGTATGATTATTGACAAATTCGCCAAAATTTTAACAAATTTGGCATTTTAACATTTTTCTTTAATCGAAACACCAAAAATATTATTTAATAACTCAACAGTTTACTCCAAACTGCTAAAAACTAAAACAACACATACATTTGGGTTAATAAGAAGTCATTAAGCTAATGCTTCTTAAATAAGAACATTTTGGCTTCTGAATACTTTGCCCAAATTGGTGCCACTCTGTTGTGTTTGTTGCCTTCCCTGATATAGCTCTTTTTTACATGATGGTCTCTACTGCGCACACCTATAAATAAAATCAAGCACACAATTTAGTGATCTAAGAATTACATGGTGGACTCTGCTGCGCACACGCATAACTACAGTCAAGCACACTCTCTAGTGTTTTATATATTACATGATGGACTCTGCTTGCACATTGATCTTCACCTGTTGACCATTAAAAAATTATTAAAATGTGTTGCATATTTTATGATGTGCATGACCGTTCTAATATTATTAATCTCAATAAGGTTTACTAGTAGTTGCATGGTGTGTGTATCACCCAGTTGCGTCGTTCATTCACTGCCCAAAGGTGGACGTGTGGTAATTCACTCAAACTGGGGTCTGGAATGCGTGCACCGGCCCCTTTACCTGTGTGCGTGGACTGCATAATCGCAACTTTTCCATCCCATAGTAACATGTTCTTAATCTAGTACTAGGGTCTGGAATGTGTGCACCGTACCCTATAACTGTGTGCGGGACTGCATAATCGCATCCTTTACATCCCGTAACATGTTCATAATCTGGTCCTCATAATTAGGGTTTCCAACTGCTCTAACACGCATACATCTTCACCAATTCGTTATTATCCAATTCAAATATTTAATACTGAATCATACGCATGATGCACAATTCAATAATTGATTACACACTGTGTCCTTAAACTATCATAATCAATTTGGTTTGCTTACCTGTGAGTGAAGGCGACATATACTCCAAACTTGCATCCATGAGTTCTCGCTTCGTTGATATGCCAGAAACAATGTCGTTCGTGGAGGGTGTTTGCCGCAGACTGGATTGTCGTTGGTGGGAGGCGACATATGTTATTTTGTTTAATCCTACCATAATTAGTCTTCTTTAATTTTGGTTTAAACTAATTATCCTAAGAGAAAATTACATTTTTGGTCCTGTGACTATAGGGGCGTTGTTAATTTTAATCCATAACTTTCAAAACTAACAATTTAGTACCATAACTATGCAATTTTTAACAGATTTGGTCTACCCAACCAATTTGTCGGCAAAATATAAATAAAAAGACCAATTTACCCTCAAATTTTTTTAAAAATAATTGAAAAATTAAATTATGTAATTTTCCGGTGGTCATGCTATTTCCAGTGGGCACTGCCCAACTGAGTCCGGCATTTCCTCACCATCACACACCATGCCAGGATACCAGCTAGCTGCCTCCACCATCGCCACCTCTGGTCTTCGCTCTCTCTCCCTCGTCGACGGCAGCACGGTGAGGCTACACATTCTGCGATGCCCTCGCTCCGTTTCCTTGACCAGCCTCCGGCTCCGACTCCCGGATATGGGGGAATTGGAACATCCATGTCATTGTTGTGGCTAGCCTTGGGTTCCACTACGTGCTGGAATTCCTTGCACCGTTGAGAAAAAAGGAGAAATAAAGGGTCCACCCACCTGACAATCTGGTGTGCCTATTTACTTGTCGACTACTTTGCCACCTTTGGCATAGCCCTCATCAATAGCAACTCCGACGACAAAGACGCCGCCGGCACCAAATCGTCCCTCCTGGAGGCTTTCTGGGCACCCTTCCTCTTGCTCCACTTGGGCGGCCCCCACGCCATCACCTCCTTCGACATAGAAGAGAACAACTTATGGCCCCGCCAACTCCTCACCCTCGTTGTTAAGTCTTTTTCCGTTCTCCTTGTTTTCTACCGCTACAAAATCTACAGCCACCACTGCTTAACCATCTCCGCCGGGATCGTCTTCTTTGTCAGAATTGTCAAGTACGCTGAACGAACCCACTCCCTTTACCTGGCATTTGTGTCCCATATGAGGAGGTCAATGCTGAAAAATAATTCCAGGACGCCTGCGGATAATTCTGCGATGACTTACTTCGCACTGCCCCCAGATAATCATGATTTTTCACCGTTGTCACTGAGGGATTTTCGTGGTCCAGGGTTAGGATTTGATAGAAATTTCCCGGTTGGTCCAGAAGAGCAGGGGTGGACTAGTTACAAGGCCTGGGCATAAAAATTCAATGAAAAGGAGTTTTGGGATGATGAAACAGAAGCAAAAAATGATTATATTGATAGGAAAAGGCGGTTAAACAGAAG